GGCATTCTTTGACTGCATATGCCCGAATATTTGTTTTTGTTTTCATATTGTTTATCCTGCTGAGGAAGTGGCAGCTACTCGTATTCTTGTAAAGCCACCGCGTTTTTTATTCCAAATAAGCCATGCGGCAGTTGGTGCACGTCACCCCACAGTTGACTGCAGCGGTTTTGGTGCTGCCTGTGATGATGCCTGCGACGCGATTGCCAGCGGGTGCCTCGTTTTCACTCTGGTGTATTCTTTTTTCTTTCACAATGTGGTGCGTACCGACGGTGCGTGGGCGTCTCTGGTGATAGTGAGGCACGTGCGCCTCACAGCGCAGGAGATGCGTTGCAGGTGTAGCACGTCGTTTTAAATAGCCAATGGGCGTCTGTCCCCGTGAAGGCGACAACAACGGCCCGGATGGCAGCAGGAGGCACTGCGGCTTTGTTTGGTGTTGCACGGCGGCTTTATTTAACAGTGCATTTGATGTTAATTTTGGGGGCTTTTGTGGGAGAAGGTGGAGGGTTGAGGGCATTAGAACTGAATTCATTTGAGTGGCTGCGTTCCTTTGGGTTGCAGCCATTCGTGGCACTCTTTTGGGGTTTGGCAGCTCGTCTCTTTTGTTTACTTCCCACCGCAGCACGTGGGTAACACTGATCCGAAGAACATTTGTTTGACGGGTGTGAGCTGCTGCCGTGCGTGGTGCGTGGACTATGTGATTGTGTGGGGAGGTGCATTGGGGTGACGAATACTTCTGTTTGGCGTGTCGTGGTGTGTCGGAATGATGTTCGGATGGCATGTGGAGGGTGTTGTTTGTGATTTGTGTGTCTTCTCTGGTGGAGCCGACATGTGTGCGGGATTATGGCATTGCTGGCTGACAGTTCCACGTCACTTTTCAGCATTCCTGGATGTGCTGAGGAATGACGGCTGGCGACCAGCGTGTTGGTGCTGCTGGTGGGAATAAGTGCATCGGGAATGGGTCGTTTTCTCTTTTCCGTGCTGGAGCCGATGAACTGGCACGAGGGCACCGGCTGCAGGCTGCCTGCCAGCACGTGTGAGCAGCGGATCCATGCACACACCGACGCTCATCGCAAGAGCGTGTGCGATCACAGTGGCCTTTTGTGGCGTGCTTTTGTGGGCGTCAGCCCATCGAAGAATGTGTGAAGCAAACGGCTGACTGCACACGAGGAAAATAAGTGCGTGCACTGTGCCGTGTTTTAGCGTCGATGGCAGGGCGGCAGGAAGCCCGTGCTGGCAACTGAGATCTTTTTGCGTCGCGAGGGATGTCGGTGTTGACTTTGGATCGTCGAGGGTGAAATGATTTTACTGCTGCCCGTGTGTGTGGCCACTCCGGCAGAGGGCGGACACAAAAGGGAGGGATGCAGGCGCTGCGTGTGTGTGTGCAGGTGCCATGCAACAACGCCACAACAAACATGCTGCGACTCGGTGACCCTCACATCGTTGTGGTCCTCACGAACAGCCGAGGCACGGCCCACACCGATGCACTTAGTGGACGGAGTGAGGCATCTTTTGAGGCGCTGCAGGGAACAGGATGTGTTGACGCAGCCACGACGTGCATGGAGTGTCACGATGGCACAGTCGGCTGTGGCTGGTGGAATATTTACTTCTCGGAGGCAACAGAGAGAGAGAGAGAGAGCTGCTCCTGCTGCTGGCGTCGTTGCTGCCTTTTGTGGCCTCCCATGCCGATTATTGTCTGTCCGCTGATCATGGGTGGCATGCCTCCACTAGTGACGTCGTCTGCAGGCATTCCACAGCACCAGTGAAACACACATCACGTCGCATGCTTTGGCTGTGGATGTGGTGTCGTGAGTGCAGCCGGCATTATTTTGCCCGACACCTTTTCACTGCTTTGCGACGAAAAGATGCGTCGCCGCCCGAGTCATTCACTGCAGCTCCGTGTGTTGTGCTGCCAGCACAAGACTCTGTTGTTGTCTGGCGCCTGGTTGACGGTCAAAAACCACTGCGTTGGGACATGCAAGGATGTGGACTGCCGCTCACGGTGTTGGGCACCGCTGTTTGGATGCGGCGGCCACACGAGCGGATGTATTGTGGCAAAATCAAATGCGTGAAGTATGCGGGATCACAGCGGCTGCAATAATATCAACGGTGTGGCACCACGGAATGTGTGAGGGGGTGATGCATGATGAATCACAGTGGGCGGCATGCGAGGGAAGTGCACCGCGACGGAGCGTCATCCCGCCCTCAGCCTGCAGGGGAATGTACACCCGCAAAATATATGGACGAGACACCACCAAACACACATGCCCTTCCATGCACCAATAAATAGGAGCGAAGGTGCGTTCTGGTGTGTGGGAGTCCACTCAAATATTTTCATTTCCACCGCAATAAACGGTGAGGAATCAGGTGCCACAGCAACGAAAGGAAAACAAAAGCATCTATTGCAACACTTTACCGGCGAAAGGCAGGAACAACACAAACCGAATTCTTGGCTGCACCAACACAAGCAACATTCACAAGAGGAAAGAAAACAAATTGTGTACCCTGCAGAAATCCCAACACACGATCCAGGCATGAAGGTTTACCCTCCGCAAAGACAAAACAAAACGCATGCAGACATCTGCCAACATTCAAACAGAAACACAAATAAACGGTTGACTGCTTTATTCCATTCCCGCGCTTATTTTTGAGCGTGCGGCTGCTGATGCAGTATTTGCCGTGCCTGCATGAAGTGGAGTGCGCTGAATATGAACGAAGGCCGAGGGCAACTGAACTGTTTTTGTGATGGATATTGGCTGCACTTCCCGTGGACCAACAATCCACGTGATGTGCGGGGATCCTCTTTTTTTTGTTACTTTGCTTTTGTGTTGCTGTGTGCGCTGCACCTCCTCTTGTGTGTGTGCGTACCCTCCGTGAGGGGTGCCGACACGACGGACCGCTCCCGCCGTATGTGCATGCGGTGGAGCCTTGTGTGCCGCTCCTGTTTGCATCTCCCTCTTCCATCTATGTGTTGGTGTTGCGGCAGGGCTGTGTGTGTGTGTGTGTGTGTGTGCCTGCTGCCGTGGATTGGAGTGTGTGTCGTGCGTGGTGTGCGGCGTACGGTGCATGCCTGGCTGCTGCCCTCTCCTCATGTGGTGTGCCCTCTGTGTGTGTGTCTGCCGCACCTCTCGTCTCCCCTGTTGCTCTCCATCTCCCTCACTGTGCAGATCAGCTCCACACCACTGAACGATCACACGATGATGACGACGTGCCGTCTGCTGTGCGCCCTGTTGGTACTCGCCCTGTGCTGCTGCCCTTTTTTATGCGTGACAGCAACTGGGACGGCAAAAGAGTTAAATAAGGCTGATGCAAGCGCCCCAAGCCCACCGTCCAATCCACCAGCCACGACGACCGGTGAGTCAGGGCTGCAAGATGTGGTTTCCGCTGCGGAACCGCAAGATGTTGACGGAGATGTAAGAGGTACGAGCGGTTCGGAAACGCAATCAGATGGTGCGGCCGATAAGTCACAGAAACATGATAATAACGATACGACAGGGTCACAAGGTAGCACAAATAGGTCCGCAGATCAAACAGATCAGAACGGTGAAGATCCTGCCGCGACGACAACGACGACGACCACTGCGCCAGTGGCACCAAGTACGACGACTACCACAGAGGCGCCAACCACGACGACCACCCGCGCACCGTCACGTCTTCGCGAAATTGACGGCAGCCTCAGCAGCTCTGCGTGGGTGTGTGCCCCGCTGCTGCTCGCCGCATCCGCGCTGGCGTACACCACTGTGGGCTGAAGAGGTGTGTGCGTGCTGTGTGTGCCAGCACTCAACCGCGGGGAATTGTGTGCGTCCACTGTGGTCCGATGTAACTAAATAAGAGAAAATAATGATTGTGTTTTGCTTCACTTGCTTCCGCTGCCCTGCTGTGTGTTCCGCGTTGCTGCTCCCTGTATCCGTCACGTGGAACGCGTACCAGACACACTCATATGCACGACACGCGTACAACTGTTTGCGTGGACGCACTGTTGAGAGAGGGTGCATGCACACTGGAGCCCTTTGGGCGCAGGTTTTGTGTGTTTTTACTGCTTTATTTATTGCTGTTTGTTACT